GTGTTCAACCCGTCGCTAGAATTTCGAAATCGTGAGCTTAAGCATCCTGCTTACAGTTCAGCGACTGACCAAGAACAGGAATGGAGACTTTACGTGAAAAACGTTATTCCCTGGGTGTGGAAAGGATACGGTAGTATTTGGTTTGATAGTGCGCATGTAACATGTCGTATCGTATTGTGGTGCCGTAATTAAGTTTCGTTTTGTTTTAATCAACCTCACCAGTCGCCGGATTGCCATGCTTTTTATTACGTGGCTCCCTAGATTTTCTGCTTTCTTGGCAAGAACCCACATATCTGAGAGCATTTTCGTTATTCGCAAACGCTGGAAGCGCCTGATGGCATTTAACTTCGCCTCGACAAATAGTGGAATAGAAACCTAGTGCAATCTCCTGCCAATTCTCTCGATTTACATTGTGCAGTCGCACCGCCCCATGCTTTTAGTAGACTGGAGAACGGAGCAACCAGGCCACGGCTTCATGATACTTTAGTACCTACAGTACATGAATACAAAATCACGCAACTGTAAACAGGCTAAACAAAAGTCTATTCGGACTCCTACCTAAAAAACAGTTATCTTTCAATTGCTGATACCGATTTCACAAGGGGAACACTCTGTCAAGTTACTGATTTAACAGTGATTTTGCGATGGTGTAAGACAGATGGGAGATTTTATTTGAATTATACCGCAAGACTGAGCCCATTTATGATCCTAGTCGAATAGGAAGACCATTTAAACAAGAACGGCCTCGTGTTGTTTAAGCACTTGCAGTGCAGACACAGGGTCACTTGGTTTGGCCAAACAAAATCATGCTCAAACATTGACTAACCTGTTACTGCCCGTTACATAAAGCAAAATGTCTCAAATTGTCAGAAATCTACCAGCAATGACAACTTTACGATTCTATCATTCGCAAAAGCCATTATCTATTATGTCTAATGAAAATATCACGAAAAGGAGACGTTGTATAATCATCGCGTTCTGTTACGAATCTAGCCTTCATAATCTTACGAACAAATTCTAGATGTTAGGAAACAAAATTAGCATTCATATTTTCCTAGCATGTTCTTTTAACAGGGGTCCGCTAACTGAGTCATCTGCATTAAAATTTTTTCGTCTCTGGCTAAATCTTCGGTCACTACTTACCGTTTCATACCGTTCTCGACGACATTAAGCCACTTTTCCTTTGGTCTCACCTTCCTATTTTTCCTGAAAATATCAGTTTGGCATATATTTCCAACGCACTCGACCGATATTCTTTACATGTGACCGAACTAACGTAGTCTACTTTTGACAAACTTTTCTTAAACTGGTGCTACGCCTAGAATGCCTCTTATAATCTGTTTTGAATCTAGTCCTTCTGCTGATACGGCACATCCATCTGAGAATTCACGTTTCTACGGAGTTCAGCTTTCGCTTGACCTTTTAGGGTAGTCAAGCGTTCTGCTTCTTAAAGAAGCAGCACCGGTCTTACTGTCGTTCAGACACCTTCTTCTTAGTTTGATGGACATCTGCTTATAAATCACTACCATCATTACAAAGTAAAATATAACGAAAACAAGGAAAATTTGATACAAAGAAAATATTTAAGACAGGATTTTCAGTAAATCATATACATTTGAACTATCACGATCAATGAAGCATCATACAGTTTCCGGTATTGACATCACCGTAATTAAACCACGTATTTCGCGCGGGAACATCGACTAAGAACACAATATCCTAGGTCCGCAATCTGCTGAAAGTAAGTTGTTGTTTTCTTCCTTACTTTGCCGTCGGGATCTGATGTCATCGCAAGAGCAGCTTTCCTTTCAATACATTAGCACCAAATGGGCACAGAATATTTACACATTCTTGCGTTTGTCTCACAAACAAGGCAAAAACCAGGGAAGCAGAAGTGAGAGGTTGAAGTCCGTTGGCCGTTGAAGCCATGAATCCAGCTGAAGTAGTGGCAGCTGGGTCTCGACGCCTTTTTCTGATTCAGCGCGAAATGATAAAACACTTTATTCCAATAGAAAATAGACACGGATGATGCGACTTTTCTTTACCAGGCACTGTTTCTGCTCACCAAAGAGTCGTTCATAAATTTGTCACCGGTCGAGTTGGCTGAATTTTCGCTTCGGCGTTCTAAAAACTAAAATATGTATTTACTGTCAACGTATGACTCGAAAAAAGACACAAGCAACAAATGATACGATAAAAAAAAGTTCTGAATCGCATAATACTACTAAAAATATTACTGCCTGCCGCATTATTTCACCTCGTCCGATGTCGCCCCATAAAGACGAGTCGAGTGTGGGCAGAAACACTGAATAATATATTCGCAACAGACTTGTAATGCAATTATGAGTTATTAATAGTAGGCGTTACTAACAGTATTATTACTTGAGTATCATTACTTACACTTGACAACAATAGGCTAATACTGACACAGGTTGGCAAAAGTGAAAGTTAGAGAAAGAGTGCCTATCGTGGCTGCAGTTCGTCTTGATACAAGAGAAAGCTGATTATTCAGGGTAATATCAGCCTAAAGTGTAACCAAGATTCCTCTTGGTCGTTTCTTTCTACTAATAACAGTCGAATTAAGAATATGATTACTTGCAATATCAGTAATAATAGTCATTTCAGTCACACTTGATAGCGATTACGTCATTACTATTGTTCACCCTTTTAGCTAGAACCCTCCACTAAGGGCTAGGGAGCTGGAGCATTTCCCTTAAAATCTTGGTGGATCGCGGTAGCATCGCTTTCTGCAGTTCATCAGCAATCCTCGCATCACGCAATGATGGTCGCTTGTCACTGCTCCAACGGCATTAATCACAACAGCAGAGCCGACTCTGCAATTAAGGATGTCAACCGGATGCACATCAGACGAGCCAAGTGGCTGATCCCTCTTCCCTTGATGTCGTAGAAGAGAGATATCACGTCCGTTAATCCAGACCACTCTAAATGTGATCTTGGAGGAAGACTCTGGGCAATCTTCGTTGATTCGGGTCACAAGTAACTACCAGTTTTCCTCTACCTTTCGTATAGGACCAGCATTCACTACGATAGATTAATGGAGGGCAAAACAACGGAACTGGACAGTTTCTTGTTTGTGCGCAGAGCCCGCTAACCGTCGATTAATGATGCTTTAAAGAGCCAACGTCAGTCGATGCCACATTCCTTCTTCACCTGATTTAATCATCCACAGGATTCACATAGTCCACTTGATGGCTGAACTAATGGTAAATATGAACTAAATGAACTAAAAAGTTCACAGCGAGTCCATAATGTTTCCAACCCACAACTTAGCAACACGGTTACCTGAATCCAGTAGACTTCAAGACTGTACCTCTTTCCCAGCACCAATTTCAGGTTCGAGAGTATGGGCATTGCTAGGCATGCCAGTATATGCAGCTAGACTAATATCGGAACAACTGTTGAGGCAAAGGTCTAACATTCGGAAGGGAATACTGCTCGCACACCTCAAAAAAACCTGATGCAATAAGCAGCTTAACTACATGAACCGCAAAGTGGTCTTTATATAATGAATACGAGCTTTATTAAACAACGAAGTTAAAAAGTTACCCGTGGAAGACTGGTGCTGTCGTTGGTGACGCGAAATCTCTTCGGTATTTTCCTGAGATGGACAAAATCCTTCGGCTAAAGACACTGTTAGCAAACCTCGCCGATTACTGCATGTGGCTGGAAGCCAGGATTTATTCAACTGTTCGGCTTTGGCAGACAGCTGAAACAAACGTAATCGGTACCAAATAAGTATCATTTCTGCTAAACCATGAAACTGCTATTTTTAAGAATTAAAAATGCAGATATATTTCCTACAAGAAATTAAACAAAAGCATCTCGGGTTGTCCAATATTAGGAAAAATATATTGCACAAAATATAAACCAATAATCTCAAGAGTTTTTTTATAAAACAAACCAGTTTTGGCATCTATCTTCAGGGAGAAAAACGTCGAAAACAGAAGACACTAAATAAACTGACTCAGCGAAACAAACATGGTTTCAATAAAGACTACCATCCGTCCATTTCGTTGTGCCTAAAACCACTGAAGAGTTAGTCTATGGAAAAAAACAGAAATGAAAAAAATTTTGGAAATCGCAGAAAATACTCGTCTAAACGGTTACGTCAGATGGGCAGCTCTAAAATATGCAATTTGTAAAGCTAAAATGAAGAATGAGAACGAGAACCCGAAAGAAGAGGAGAAAAATAACTACAAAAGAGAAAATGAGGTGATTTGAAGAAGACAGAAAGAGAAAGACAAAGCAACAGGGAGAAGGATATCTCTAACTATGAAAAGGAAGGGGAAAAAGAACATTAAAGTAAACCGAGGTAGCAAAAGAAGGCGAATATAAAGTACGAAAGAAGAATAAAAAGATTAAGAAAAAATGAAGAAGAAGAAATAAGAAGACTTAAAATAGGAGTAACAAAAAACTGTTCAAGCGAGCCGACCTATCAGCTGCAAAGCAATGGCATTGGTGAAATTACCATGAAAAAGCGGTGGAAAAAACTGCGCAAGTGAAACTACTCTGAAACTTCTGAAAACGAACTGACAATGAAATATCAACTCATTGTCCGGATATCGCGGTGATAGACAAAGGAAAAGGTGGACACAAATCACTGATATAGCACACCCTGTTGATAGCAACGTTGCTGTTAAGAGGAGAGAAAAGGTACCGGAAATATCTAGAATTGAGGATAAAAATACAAAAGATCTGGAGAGTAAAGGCGGAAGTCATCCATATGGTAACTGGCACCCTTAAAGTAATGAAAAGAGAACAGCAACGCCTACTAAAATCAGTTGATGAGGTAATCGAAGCTGAGATGATGAACGACAGCTCCATAACTCCCAGTCAGTACCAATGTATATTTCACTTAGGGTGACTGGGTGTAATAACAAAGAGTAAGAAAAACAATAAGAAAAATAAAAGATAGAATAAGTAGAAAATATCTTTCAATACATTTCATAAGAATATGTCGGCACAGGGAAACTGTTCAACTATTCGGGACATATTTCTATGTCTCTGTGTTGCTTCGCTTTGCTAATTGCTGTATCTTTCAGTGTTTGTCTCCCTAAATATTTCCATTTCTTCTGTTGCCCCTTCCTGTCAGAGGAGCCACAGAATGGCTCTTGATCTTGAACACCAATCTGTGACTTTGGCACCATGAAAACAAGTAACTGACAACAAGCAATCATATCGACAGTAGCCATGAAATTATCATTTCCTCACCCAAAATTGCACTTACCGATTGGCAGATGGTTTTCAACTGTGTCATCGAGTTCTGCATCAGGGTAGAAGCATAGTTGTAAACTGTGCTCGGGAAGTCGGCGATCGAATGCGGGATGATGCTCAGGCTGGGGGCACCGAACGCTAAAGGCGACTGTTGGTACTCTGCCTGATTGGTACTGCCTATATTGGTGACGATCAGTCGGATCGGTCGGAAACGACAGAAATGCGGATCGTATTGAAACAGCTGGTAGCCGGTCTCGCCATAGTCATGTTTATTCTCCACCGATTCGCTGAGAAGCATGAACAACGGCGTGCGTAAGCCGTCCTTCGACGCATCGGTGATCGACGACAGACTGGCCGTCACTCGCCTTTCGATCCTGCTGAAGCCCACCGGGCCAACATTGCGCTTCAGCCGAAACCAGCCCAACACCGACACATTTTCGATCGACGTAGACAACGTTTGTAAGAGCTAAATTTCAGTACATACTCTTTGAGTCAACACGAGGGTAAAAGCAACCGTCTGGATAAAATGGACATGTTTAGTTAGGCGTTTCGTAGCGACAATTACTTAAATGCACATGCATATAATTACATACATAACTAGGTGACAGAAAATAATAAAAACATAAAACATATAATGATTGTGTGGACGCTCATTCGTGCTTCATATAGTCTATTAATATCTACCAAGCTTTTGCTCTGCACCATCCGCTTACCATATGGATCAAATCGCTGTTGACGTTCAGATTAGGCTCGTAAAAGCTGAACCTCGCCTCGAGGAATACGAATCTCTGGATGCACACTTCCGTGATCTCCTTGACCGTCGTGTCGGAGTTCGCTTCGTCGCTCACATCGCAAACCTGTCGAGTAGTCACTGAGCCGAAAATTAGACCTTCGAAGTCTGTGTCCCGGTTTGCACAATCGTACATGAGGAACGACAGCGCTGGCGAACTAACCGATACCGTGAACCTTTCGACACACATGCTGGTCAGTTTTGTGACAAACGCAACCGATTATTCGACTGTCTGAAATTATCGCGTTAACAGTATTTCTAAATGATTTTCAAGATGCATTTCTTTTACATGTGTGCTTGACAGCTTAAACTTACCATAAGCAAATTAGCATATAACCCAAAATTCAATCGGGTTCTGCTCCAGAGTCAGTATAATAGCGTAAATTTTTTGCATTAAGATGCTTAATCAATGGAAGTTAAAGAAAAATTATTTTTTCTGTATCGGAAAAGAAAGAGTTAAAGAACAGTTTTGCGTCATTGTTAGCGATTTGGTTGTGATGCGGGGGATAGGGGGTAGGGGTTTGACCTCCAGAGCCAAATTCGATTGTGCTAGAAAACAAAAGCGTGCTTGTCTTAAGAACAAATTATTTCTATCAAAGAACTTGCCACCCGTTATCTCAGACTCCGGTTGCTCAATTTGTACAGCATCACATTCAGGTTCCGGATGAAAGCACTAATAGGAGTCATTTTTCTTTCCTCCTTTTGAGATATAAGAATGAGTACCACTCTGTGAGAATGATATAGGAATTTACAGGCTATGCTTGCTTCATAGCTGTAGATTTTGCCTTCAAAAAGATTAAGGCACTTCTGCCTGATGACACGGAAACAAAAATCAGCGCTGCACTATTAACTTCATGGGAGGAAGGACGGCAGGGTGGTCCCACCAGGAAAGTGTACAAAAAACCGGTATTCTGACAGTTATAGACCTTCTTTTTCAAATTAAATAAATTAATAAGTGGTGATAAGTATGTAACTGTCAGTTTTGATTACTGGTTATCTTTCCGGATCCAGAAAATAAGGTTTAAATACACTATTAATTTCTGAACAATTTTTGATGCCAAAAGTCGACAATTATATCAAACTATAACATCAAACTAACAAATTATAACAAAAGTCGATATCATCGAACTTTTTAATTCGAATTCAATTCAATGATAAGCGACGTCGGAAGGTTTGATTTTGAATCCGTTTAAAGGGCTACATGATTATCGACATCATACCGATTATTATTTTAAGTAACAGTGCAAAATGCCGTTTACTCATAAATAACGCAAAACATGCTTCTCCTGTCGCTGAGCAATATCGAGGTCTCAGACTGAGTTTCCCGGGCATTTTAAAAGGTACGTTGTTGGTTGCGAAGTTTCGTGAATGTGTTTAGTGGTTTGCAGCAGTCGATAGTCTCGAAGCCAAAAGGCTTGATTTGTTAGAGTCTTTCGGATGACAATCTAATTGTGATACATAGATTGCTATTAGATTATTTTAAAATTCAATTTCAGTTTGGCTAGAAATCACTGAGACATTAATATGACAAAGTTTTCTTGCAGATTTATGTTTTTACAAAAGACAGATCGCTCCTTCTGAAGAATGGGCGGTGCTATAGCAGCAACCTGAAGATCAGTACAGCAGATTTTCTCTCGCCGTTAAGATAATTTATGGGAATCATTATGATTTCTAAGTAATAACAGAATTACGCAATACTACATTAAAATTTGCGCATGGAAATAGGTACACAATTCAGACGCAATAATCTGGAAGCTAAGCAGGTTTGTAGTAAAAAAGTGAAAGTGCAACTATAATGTTAAGTTATTTGACATCAGACCTGTATACATTTTTGTCTTATTTATAATGATGAATAAGAAAGTACTTTGTGAAATACATGCGACAGAACTGTAGTTCTAGCGATGAACTGCTGGTGTGACGAGACGCAATATGGTTTAGATATGAAGGGCGAGACAGCATCGATTTTGATCGCCTTCATGGAGAGATTTTAATTCTGGTGTGATGATGGGTTCTAAAGCCAGAGAAGAGACTCTCAAGGTAGGCTGTATTGTCAAATATGCATATGAATAAAATAAAGAAAGGGTGCAGTTATATTGGAATTTCCCTCTAGAATCTACATTTGGACCTTACCAATTAGCGGAAAATCGGGACCGTTCATACGCAGCGGTCCCTTTACCTAAATGATTTGTCGACGTTAAAAATGAATGAATTAGCAAATAGATGTTTTCATGAATCATAAAAATTTGGAGCACTGGTACAGTGAATCTGAAACAGTTCGATAA